CCACCTTCTCTGACCAGCCCAGATGCTCCAGCGCCGACGAGAGCTCGAAGAAAGGCAAGGAAACTCTGGTTTTTTCAACTTCATTTCCGACGATTCCGACTACGATTTTCATCGAATCATGCGCAACGAATCACTCCGGACGAAACCGCGGAGAGTTAATTATGCTTTGCACCGTATGTGAGTGGACATTTGTTTAATAAATGATTTTTCTTGCTACGATGGTTTTATGAAATTTTTTATGAATGAATTGTTTATGGTGTTTACTTTATGAGCATTCGGTTTTGGTTGAAAATGGTTTAATTATGGTTTAGTATTTGAGGTTGATATTAAATGTTTAGAAATTATTTAATTGTGGTTTAATGTTTCGGATTCAATTTGAGAACGATTTGGAAAGAATTATAAATGGTTTGAATCAAGATAGTGAAATTTGGGATTTATTAACGGTTTAAAAATTGGTTTTGAAAGATTGGTGTATTGTTTGAGAAAACCGAGAAAGGATTTGGGAAAGAGTTTTGGAAAAAGGGATTTGTGAAAAAATGGACTTTTTATGTTTAAGTGTCAATAAGTGGATTTCAAACCCACCCTAGGTACCCAAACCCGGTTGCCTTTGGAAATGTATAATTGTTGCTTGTGAAAAAGAATATAACAGTTGCCTTCGGAAAAGTGAATCGGTTGCCTTTGGTAGAATCGGTCCACATGACTTGGATTGCATGTACCTAGATAGAGACTACTCTGTAGGTGTCCGGCCAGAGTATATTGCATGTACCTATGTTGACTACGCAAGTGTTCAGCCAGTGAATTGCATGTACCTACATAAAGATTACTCTGTAGGTGTCCAGCCAAGATTTTCCCCCTCCACTACTCGATTGTCTACACAGGTGGTTGACCAATTTTCCCATTCCCTGGTTGCCCTCAGTGTATTGCATGTACTCATATCACAAATACGAGTGTCCGGCCAATGATTTTCCCCATGATTTTTCCCTGCCACCCTGCCGATATATTACATAGGTTGGCCAATTTTCCCCATAGGTATACTTGGGTGGAGAGTTTTGTATGAATTGGATTGAGACTGGATTTCGATTGAATTGTATTTTGAGCTTGCTTGATTTATTGAATTCAAAGAATGGTTCGAAACTTGATTTTGTTGAATTATATTTTTGAGTTACTCAATATTTTGGATTTAAATGTTGTTTGAAATACCAGATTGTATTAATTGAAACTTTACTTTCCAGTTAATCCCAAGATTGTTTTACCTACATGTGTATTTATTATATTTTGTTCCTGTACGTAAATTTGCTTGTGTTTTGGTAAGTTTTCAAAGGTTTACGAAAATAGAGGGGTTAGTATGTTCTGTATAATTAGTTTTAAGAAAAACTTTTTTTTTGTCCACTCACGCTTTTACTGTTTTGCGCCCCTAGGAAGTAGATAGCTCAGAGTTCGGACGACCACGTAAGCTACTCTAGCGTCGGTGAAGTCCTTGTAGTTCTACCTAGTAGGAAACTTTATTTTCCGTTTTCGTTGTTTATTTGGAAACTAATTTTGTAAATTTAACACCAATAGTTGCTCTGATATTTCCCACTTATGACTGAATTTGAGGCCGGAGGCCATGTAAAATTTGTGTGTGCCTTATCTTGTGTGTGCTGCTAGTGTGGATTATTAGATTGTCATTATTTGCAGATATTAATTTGGGAAAAGTCCATTTTACAGGGGAGACTGTCGAAATTTCTGTAAAAGTCTTGACCTATTTTTCTTAAAAGTGCGGGTGAGAGGTGGAAAGTTAGTAGTGGGTCCATCATCGTTCGGGTGCCGAAATATGTAACAGGATTCGACACGAGTTCCGAGGGAAAATTCGGGTCGGGTCCTGTCAACTTGGTATCAGAGCATTAGGTTCATTTCCTTTGGACTTTGCGCTTCCGTGCATTCTTGAAACTAATTACCTTCTGTTTCCTTCTTAATAGAATCATGCCTCCTAGACGTGGGAGACGGAGGATTCGTCCTCAGGGGGATGGTGAGCCAGATTCACCCCCACCACCTTCACCTAATCGTGAGAGCACAAGCAAGTTTGAGCCCAACCTACAACTGGTGCTAGACCAATTTACCATAACTATTGCCACAATCCTACAAGGAAGACATCACATTGAAACCTTAGACATCAAGAGAGTCAAGAAATTGGGAGCAAGTGACTTCTTAGGCAATGTTGACCCGGCATAAGCCGGAAGCTGGTTGACGGACTTAGTAAGAGTTTTTGATGTCATGAGGTGACCAAATGAAGACCGAGTTCGTTTGGCTACCTTCCTCTTGAAGCGAAATGCCTACCATTGGTGGGAAACAGTTCAAAGGAGTTATCCTAATCTTAATATCATTACTTGGGCGAATTTTCAGCGTATGTTTAATGAGCAGTTTTATCATCACTCCTACCGAGATGCTAAGCAGTTTTATCAGAGTAAGCACTAAGAAAGAGTGTTAGGTGAATAGAATAACCCATGAGTGAGCTTGCCATTCAAATAATGAAGGATGCGTTTGGTAGCGGGCCAGTGAACCATAGTGGGTTGATGCATAAATTGACACACCTGATTAACAGCAAAGGCAATGTCTGTACGAGTGAAAGTTAAGTACTGAAGAGCCCTAATGGTCAGTACTCGGTGGGATCAAGAAGAGGATCCCCATCAGAAATGCTAAGACGATGACCACTAACAGATGGGGTAAGAACAGGTTTAGCTTCATGCATGTTAACACGCTTGAGAAGGTTGACGACATACTTAGTCTGAGTAAGAGAGAGACCAGATGGAGTATGAACAAGCTCCATGCCCAAGAAATAGTTGGGGGGCCAAGATCCTTCATAGAGAACTGACAGCCCAAATCAGAGAAAAGTGTGGCAATGCGAGAAGGATTGGAGCTAGTGACAAGAATATCATCCACATGAATCAGCAAATAAATGTGAATAGAGCCGTGAATGTACACAAAGAGAGATAAATCGAACTTAGTGGCAATAAAACCCAACTGAAACAGATGAGAAGAGAAACAATGGAACCGAGCGTGAGGGGCCTGCTTAAGACCATAAAGAGATCGACATAAGCGGCAGACATGATCGGGATATGTGGGATCAACAAAGCCAACGGGTTGGCGCATATAAACCTCCTCATCAAGATAGCCATGTAAAAAGACATTCTGAACATCCAACTGACGAATAGGCCAACTAAACTGCACAGAAAGAGCTAAGATAAGGCGAAGAGTAGAATGATTAACAACATGACTAAAGGTTTCACCGTAGTCAAGGCCCAGCTGCTGATGAAAACCATTGGCCACCAAGCGAGCCTTATAACGCTGAATAGTGCCATCAGAATTCCGCTTGACTCGAAAAACCCATTTGTTCAACAACACATTCATAGCGGGAGTACGAGGGACTAAATTCCAAGTCCCAGCACGAAGAAGAGCATTAAACTCATCTGCCATGGCAATACGCCACTCCATAAGCTTATTAGCCTGTGAAAAAGATGTAGGCTCAACAGTATCATCAGTAAAAACCAATGCATGATGCGCATACTTAGGATTAGGTTTACGGACACTGGTTTTAGCACGAGTAGCCATTGAATGAGTATTGGATATCAGAAGAATGACGAGAAAATGTACTTAATGAAACAGGGATGGCAAACGGAAAGACAATTTTGCTATGCGAGTCTCTAAAATACGTTTGAGAAAAACGAGAAGAAGATAGTGCAGGCAGGCTGACCGGCGGGCTCGCAAGGAGGGGAGGAGAGGGTAGGCCTGGAGGGACAAGGGGCGACACAGGTGGTGAACTCAGAGGATGAGCACACACGGCACGGGTTAGTGCAGGGCTAGAAGGATGAAGGTCGTGGGAGGTGAACGGGACAGATGCTGGAACTGGGAAAGTCCTGGGGCATCGTATGAGTGGGGCTGGAGGAGACAAAGCTACTAGAGGACAAATTAGGGCCAAGGAGAAGGAGAGGCAGGTCAGTTGGTGACGACAGATAACTATCGGGAGCAAGAGCAGCGGAGGCCTTGTGAAAAGGAAAAGAAAGTTCATCAAACAAGACATGGCGAGATAAAAATACACAGTGAGGAGAAAGATCTAAACAACGATAACCTTGATGATTTAAAGAATAGCCTAAAAACACATACTTAGAAGACCGAAATTGCAATTTATTAGAATTATATTGGCGTAAGAAGGGAAAACAAGCACACCCAAAAAAATTTAAAATAAGATTTCATAATGTGATTTATGATGAAGAAACTTATAAGGGAGACGATTAATTAGATAGACAATGGTATGCATAGCCTCAGCCCAATACGAATGGGGCATAGAGGCATGGGCCAAAAGAGTGAGCCCTGTGTCGACAATGTGACGGTGCTTGTGTTCAGCTAAGCCATTTGCTCAGGGCGATGAAGACAAGAGAGACAGTGATGAATGCCATGATAAGATAAATAAATGACTAGTGTATTCCCCACCGTCATCAGATTGAAAAGCCTTAATTTTAGTAGAGAACATATTTTCAACCAATGCCTTGATTTAACAAAATGAGAGAATACTTCATATTTTAACTTCATTGGGTAAATCTAAGAATAACGGGAAAAATCATCAACAAAGAGAACATAATAAGGAAAACCAGAAATTGATTTATTTGAAGAACTCCACACACCCAAGCGAATAAGTTCAAGCGGTAAGGTAGAAACAAAAACAGATGGACTAAAGGGTAACTTAACACTTTTACCCAATGGACAGGACTGGCAAACAAAAAAGAACTACACTGAGAGCTAGAAGACAGCAATTTATTATGAGAAAACAAAAATTGTAATGTAGACGAAGTAGGATGACCGAGACGAGAGCGCCACAAAGAGCGGTGGACATGAACACCTAGCCAAGCAACAAGATCATGCCAAATTTGAAATGACTCATTCAATGAGAAGGAAAACGGATATAGGCCTTTGCTACTCTTGCCCCGGAAAATAATCTTCCCCATCGCCAGATACTGGATAAAATATCAGTCAAAGAAAAAAGTGAAGAAACAATTGTTGTCAGTAGCAAATTCATGAACAGATAAAAGTGGAAAAGAGGCATTAGGACAGTGAAGAATATTATTAAGAGAAAATGAGGAGTTAAGGTGAGAGATACGAGAGTGACCAATATGAGTAATAGGCAAACATGTTCCACCAAGCACACCTCCAACATTATCAGAACCATGATACTTTCTAGCAAAGGATAGATGGCTTAATTCATTGGTGATATAGGTGTTAGCCCTGATATCAGCAACCCATTGTTGTGTGCCACCATGGGATAGATGGTGAGCGGTCATGCCTTGAAAAAGAGTAGAAGGAGCAGGCACAAAAGTAGCCTTGAAAGGGCAGACAACGACAACGTGGCCATAACCACGACAATTGTAACATTGCAAAGGCCCACGGGGGGAGGGAGAATTGGACCCAAAAGAGGAGGTATTAAGGCCAGAGGGAGGAGGCCCAAGAACACCTTGATCAAAATTGTGGTGATAACATGGCTGTGAAGAAGGAGAACGAAATAAGCTATAAGACCTAGAACCTAGAGAAGAACCAAAACGAGGAGCAGAGAGTGATGTGCGACGATCCGGAGCACGGCCAGCGAAGCCAGTGCGATCACCAAAGCCACGCCTACCATGGCCACTGTGACCGCTACTGGAAGCCACCATGGTCGTCGCACCAGAAGAGATGTCCAGAGAAGATGAAGCCTGAAGACGTCGTTCTGCTGATAAGAGAAGGGCTTTAAGGTCAGGCATACCGATGAGTGTCTCACGAGCTTGAGCAACGGCAACCGTATTCTCATAAATCGGACCAACAATATTCATAACCACAACAAGAAGATTAAATTCATTAACTGGGGCACCTGCCAAAGCCAAGTTATTTGTAATAGAGTGAATATGATCAAAAAAAATCAGTGATGGAAGAGTCACCGCGGGGTTGTGCGAAGCAAGTCGCTGCGAAGATGAAGAAGGCGATTTTGATTTCGAAGAAGCGAAATGAGTTTCAAGCGCCACCCAAGTGTCACATGCGGTGGTTTTGGTAGCAACATTAATAAGAACCTTATTGTGGAGAGAACCATTTATGAGAGAGAGAACAAGCTGATCTTTCTGAACCAAGTCATCATATTCAGGGTTGGGGATGAGAGACAGAGGAGAAGAATCACTTTGCTGGGCCTTGGGGTCTGGAATGGTGGGAGAGGGACTTGGGCAACTACCATTGACATAGGAGAGCAAGCGGCGGTTGCGAAGAACGGGAACAATCTGAGCAAGCCAGGTCGGATAGTTATCACATTCGAGGCGAACAGAGATAACGTGAATGATGCTAGGAAGGTCAAGAGTAGAGGATGAAGCCATGGGGTCGAGGAAAAAAAGCGGCAAAATAGACGATGGATTGAATACAGTAAGTCTCAAGCTCTTGATACCATGAAAGGTTTTTAAACATCTTTGATGATTTTAATTGATAAACAATATAGGAAAAATATATAGAGCCTTTACTTGGTGATTACACAAAGTATCGCCTATTCTAGGTAAGAAACAATACATTGATTTACAAGGAGAATATACAAGAATCAAGTCAATAAATACACATAATTGGGCAAGTAAATCATATCATAATCAGATCAGGATTCACACCCATTGCTACAAAGGTGCCCAACAGATAAGCTCATGTTAGAGATCCTTCCATTAATATTCTTCATCAATCCATCTGGTAGTACAATAGACAGAGAGTCGAGTAGGCTATTTGATAGCTCCACAAAATAGAAAGGTAGGCAGGTGTGTCAATTCAAACTTTGAAATTGGTGGTCACAATTGAGATTGAAATGTTGTGGTGGGTTCATACTATGAAATTGATGTTTCAAATTGAGGTTGAAAATGTTTGTGGTACTTGAAAGGTGGAATATATTTCTCTGTGTTGGTGTCGTCTTAGCGTTTATCAGACTTATCTAGAATGTACTTGACGTTGCATATAAGATTTGCCACATCATTATTATTGACCCAACACACTATCACCTCTAGTGCTAAAAGTTTGTCCTTCGACCAAATAGAGGACAACAGAAGAAGAAGAAAAAAAAGTTGTGTGAAAATGATTTTTTTTCTTATTTTTTATTTTACTAGTAAATGTAATGTGTCAATTTTGTAACATTGTTTATTTCTGTTTGTTTGGTTTTTTTTTTTTAAGCGACAGCTTATTATAAGAGTTTAGTGAAAGAAGTTGGGATTCCACCCCAAAACCAATTGACAATGGAGGGAGTAATTCAACTCCTTATAAGCCCTTGTTAGGTTTCTCAACTTTCCAATGTGGGACTTTTTACCTTCACATTCTCACACGCTGTTCGGTTCATTTTTACACATGATTTTTCATGTTATTCACCCACTATTTTGAGTTAGTTCTTGACATTTTATAGCTTTTTACTTCCTTTTTGTGTTTTCTTAGATTTTACCTTGGTTGGAATGAAAATGAGCTAAAAGTGCATTATTGGTTATAAACTTTGTTTTTGTTCATTTTCGTAGGTCAACTTCTTGGCCTGGGATCAGCATGCTCTGGTGCTCGGATGAGGTCATGATCTTCATGAGACTTGTTCCAATGGATGTTAACTACAACATATCCAAATTTGAGCTCCATTGGACAAGTATTGCCTATCCAACCAATCCAGAATGTCACCACAGCTCTGGAAATCCGATTTTGGCCAGCTTTCACCTCCTTTGTGTCATCTTAATTTCTTGTTACCATAACTCTTGGTAACAAGGAATTACCTTTGTAAAAGAGATATATTCTGAAGCATTTGGCATCTTTGTGAAGTCAAGGCTTCATCATGACAAAGGAGACAAAGGATGATGGGTGAAGATTTTGGAAATATAATACTAAAAGCAAAGCTGGAAAGGAGGAGAGAGGGAGGCAAAAGGGAAGTGCAATCTGATTTTGGAGAGGTTTTTAAACGGGGGTATGGGATTCATTACATCATTCTACACCAGGAGCAGCTTGGAGAGCTAAAAGCTAAGGAAGGAGAAGGAGGTGCAGCCGCAGGAAGAAGGGGGAAGACTTCCACCATTGAAGACTTCAAGCTTTCATCATTTCCAAATCTGTAAACTCTTTCTAGTTATATTTCGAATTTGTGTTTGAAATGATTATGAGGAACTAAACTCCATAGCTAGGGCTTAGGTTGAAGCCCTAAACATGATTACCTTATTGTTTTGATGCTTGAGTGTATGAATTTCTAGATATTGTTGATGAATTCCAATTCACCAAATTAATCTATCCTTGATGTATGTTCTTCTTTGATTGATCACCTTTGAAAGCATGTTTCTTGAGATTGTTGGGATTATGTGTATCTTCATGTTATCCTAAGCAATAAATGGATGAAGTAAGAATCATCCATGTGAATTGGTTTCTTGAATACCTAATGTAAACAC